TCGGAGTGCCGCCCCAGAGCCACGACCCCCTGGTGGTCCGCGCACCCGTCCCCTGGCACCAGAGCTTCCTCACGGGCGCCCACCACTGCTACCACAACCTGTTCGCGCTCAACCACATCCTGAACAACCTCGATACCATCTGGGAGGAGAGGTGAGGCGGGCATCGGGTGGGGCGGGTGGGGGGGGGAAGAAGGGGGGAAGGGGGGGGGGGGGAGGGAAGGGGCGTTTGTAGGGGGAGTATGGTGTGTGTGGGGGGGGGGTTCGTGGTGGGAGGTGGAGATATAGGGGGGGGGGTATCGTGCATGCGGTCATGATGGGGTGTGGGTTAAGAGACACGGGCAGGTACATGCACGTACATGCATATACGTAGGACCGAATACATACACAAACACAGACACAAACACACGGGACACGGACACGTACACGACACACCACACACAAACACACACACACACAACACACACACACACACACACACACACACACACACACACACACACACGACACACACACACACACACACACACGACACACACACACACACACACACACACACACACACACACACACACAACACACACACACACACACAACACACACACACACACACACACACACACACACACACACACACACACACACACACACATTCACTCCACTCCTCAGCATTTCACCCTTGGCCTTCCCTCGGCAGGTTCGGGAGCCTGAGGTTCATCGACATGCCCTCGCTGGCGGGAAGGGGCGACCTCCTCGCGCCCACGCCCGAGGCCCTGGAGGAGGCCGTGCGGGCGCAGTGTGCCGAGACGCGACGGATCCTGCTGCAGAAGTGAGACAGGAGGCCCGAGGGATAAGGGCTTCGGGCGGGAGATAAAGGATTTTTTTTTTGTTAGATAAGAGGTTTTGGTTGCAAGGTTTGAGGTTTAGGCGTCGAGGTGAGGTGTTAAGGGTTGAGATTAAGGCTTTTTAAGATAGAGGCGTTTATATCATTTCAGTTATTTATTTTTACTTATTTAATTTTAGAAGTTTTTTTTTTAAGATAATTGCGTTTGTTTCATTTTGTTTATTATTTTTTGTTGATTAATTTTTAGATAATAAGTTTCATCTTAAGATTAGAGGTTGGGATGAGAGATGAAAATTTTGGGATTTGAAAAAAAAATCTTTTTTTTTTTGAGCTTGGGATGAGAATTTTTTTTTTTTTTTTTGGATTTTGAGATAAAAGAGCTATGGGTTTTTTTGAAATAAGAGGCAGAGTTTTGAGGAAAGAAATTTAGGTTTCGAAATAGATTTTGGTTATGGAGAGGGATAGTTGAAGTGTAAGAGGATAGGATATTGCTGAATGATTAGTTATTAAGTATTTATTGATTATCATTTAGGACTAAGGTCTCGTTATGCATTAAGTAAAATGCTTTATTCCCACAGCATACCACAATGACGTATACCATATCATATGCCCACACCATACCTTAACAACATATATGGCATTCCCCAACGATACCATGTTATATCACAACAACACACCCTCACAGCATATGCCACGCCCTATCACAGCATACCCCACCAGCGCATACCCCCCCCCCACGACCCATGCTAACCCCTCCCCTCTCCTCCCCCTCCCGGCCCATGCTAACCCCCTCCCCTCTCCTCCCCCCCCCTCACGCCCATGCTAACCCCCCCTCCCTCCCCCTCCCCGGCCCATGCTAACCCCCTCCCCCTCCTCTCCTCTCGCTCCGGCCCATTCCCTCTCCTCCCCTCCCCCTCACGGCCCATGCTACCCCCTCCCGGCCCATGCTAACCCCCTCCCCCTCTCCCCTCCCCCCTCACGGCCCAAACTAACCCCTCACCCCTGTCCCCCCCTCCCGAGGTGGCTCCCCGCCGGGCCCGCGTGTTCGGCGACCTGGTGTCCGAGTGGCGGCCGCTCGTGCCCACCGACGTCGCCGACAGCCTCCGCCAGGTGCGCCGCTTCTTCAGCGCCGTCAGGTCCCGGATGTCGCTGCAGCTGCGCCGCCTCGTCCTCGACTCCATCTGCGACTCAGGGACGCCTCGTCACGCACAAGGCAGGTGGAGGGCGGCGCGGGGCGGGGCGAGGGGAGGAGCACGCACATGCACACGCACATAGATCTGTGTGTGTGTGTGTGTGTGTGTGTGTGTAATATGTAATATTACATATGCAATACGTAAATTACATATTTTATGTAATATGTGATACGTAAATTACAATGTAAATATTACATATGTATTTTGTGTGTGTAATATGTATATGTATATATATATATATATATATATATATATATATATATATATATATATATATATATATACATATATATACATATATATATACATATATATACATATATATATATATATATATATATATATATATATATATATATGTATCTATATGTATCTATATATCTATCAATCTATCTATCATCTATCTATCTATCTATCTATCTATCTATCTATCTATCTATCTATCTATCTATCTATCTATCTATCTATCTATCTATCTATTATATATATATATATATATATATATATATGTGTGTGTGTGTGTGTGTGTGTGTGTGTGTGTGTGTGTGTGTGTGTGTGTGTGTGTGTGTGTGTGTGTATGTGTATGTATGTATGTATGTATGTATGTATGTATGTATGTATATGTATATATATATATATATATATATATATATATATATATATATATATATATATATATATATATATATATATATGTGGTGTGTGTGTGTGTGTGTGTGTGGTTGTGTGTGTGTGTGTGTGTGTGTGTGTGTGTGTATGTGAAGTAGGATTTCGATACACCAAGTGTTTTTTTCAATGCAGCGAGCGTGGCCTGATTCCCGAGACACAAGTATTTCCTATCCACATTTTTTTTACTTCTCCGGCCGCTAAACTGAATATAACATTAAAAAAAATCAACGTATTCACAGGCTGAAACGAAAAACACCCTATGGAATTCGGAGCGTATGTGCAGTCAATATTTTCCTAAATTTTGTGTCAACAGATGTGAGCGAATCGGCAGGTGTGTGTCCCTTCGTTCGAAAGGGTATATTATGGCTTCGTTTCCGGGCCGAGTGGCAGGCAATGACCCGAAAGTTTATGTTGTGGTGGATTTTTTTTTTTTGGGGGGGGGGGGGGGGCGGGGGACTGATGAATGTAATTATGTATGTTCGTATCGTGTCTGGGTTCTTGTTAAAGTTAATGCAGGGTGATAGAGTGTGTTGTTAGAATTTCTGCTTCTTGTTTATTTCAGGATGTTTGTTCTAGAATTAGTTAGTAAATATATATTTTTTTTTCACTTTGTAATGTAGCGGGTAGACACACACACACACACACACACACACACACACACACACACACACACACACACACACACACACACACACACACACACACACACACACACACACACACACACACACACACACACACACACACACACACACACACACACACACACACACACACACACACACACACACACACACCACACACACATACACACACACACAAACAAACAAACAAACACACACAAACAGACACAAAGACAAACACACAAACCAACATATAGCCAGAGACAGACAGACACGTAGAGAGAAGGACACTTCAAAACCCTCTTCTCTCTTTGCCGCTGGACCAACCAAGGCACCATCTATAACGACCACCCTAACACAACGCCCACCACGTACCAGGTCGGGAACGACTACAGCGGCGAATACCAAGAAAAGGACTTCATCGAGAAGGCGGTGGTGGAGGTGGCGGTGACGGTGCGGGGCAAGAGAGTGCTATTCCAGCCGCCCTTGCCCGACACGAGGGACCACATTCTCAACTGTCTGAAGGCCATTATCGAACATAACGAGAGGATCCCCCGCGTCGAGAAGCTTCTGTTTCCTGGTGAGGTTTTGGGTGGATGGGTGGTGGGTGGGGGTGGGTGGGGGGGGGTGGATGGGTGGGGTGGGTGGTGGTGGGTGTGGGTGGATGGGTGGGTGGGTGGGATGGATGGAAGTGATGGATGGATGGGTGGATGGATAGAGATGATGAAATGGCAGATGGGAGTTCTCTGGTATAGATATTAGTGGTTCACAATCTTTTTCATTTTGTGGCCCACTAATATATGTCTCAGGTCTCGTCCAGTCTCTTTCCAGATTTAGTTATTGCTAGTTTTATATAGTGTAATGGTGTCCACGGCTATAAGACAAAACACTATGGAAAGTTTCCAATTCATTGATATGTGAGAGGTGTTTATATTTAGCAATATAGGTGGCATAAAATTCAGTTTAATTCGACGTCATAATTTTTCATATTGCTCCATGGCCTCCAAGACCCAATAGGGCCATGGCTCCCAGGTCGGGAACTGAAAATAGATAGATAGATATAGATAGATAAATGGACTGATAGACGAGAACTCTCTAGATAGTATATAGATAGATAGATAGATAGGTAGATATAGATAACCATAGAGAGGATATAATAGTCACATTTATCATTTCACTCCCTTATGCAACCTCCCAACACGACCCAGACACAAAAGACAAAACAACCCGCCCTTCCTCTAGCACCCACCCTTCAACCCACCAACCCATCTTCAAACTCCCGCCCGCCCGCTCACCCTCCACCCCACCCTCCAGAGATGGGCCGCCGCCGCCTGTACCTCCACGCCGTCAGCCCGGACGAGGAGGCCGTAGCGAAGGTCAAGGGCGAGGTGAGTGACCTGTTCTCCGTCAACGCCCAGGGCCCTGTGACCTACGTGGCCCTGTACGACCGCTACACCCACCTGCTGGACGGCACGACGCTCACGGAGGTGCAGGAGTTCATCGACACCTGCGGGATCCTCAAGGTAAGGCGAGGGAAGGCGGGTTGGGTCGGGGGTGGAAGGGGGGAGGAGAGAGAGAGGAAAAGGGGGAGTGAGAGGAGAGTGAGGAGAGGGGAGTAAGAAAGTGTGAAAGGAAAGGGGAATGAGGAAGGGAGAAATGAGAGGAGAATGAGGA